TGCTCGTGGTCTCCGCGCAGAAGATGCTCCGAAACGCGCAGTAGGACGCCGGAGAGCGGCGATATCGACGGACGTTACCGCGCGTAAAAAGCGCTGGATGCGCATTACGGACGTCTCTTTTTAGTGTCACCTTGCGCGCACGGACGCTCTTCGTGCATTGAAAGACATCACGGCTGAATTAGCACCGGGAATATCTCCTCAGAGGCTGCACTGGGGGCCGGGGCAAGTTGTCACAGTGACGTTCAGAGTGGAAAATCCGTTTGCATGAACGCAGTGGCGCTGTGTGTTACTTTCAAACATGTAGTACAAAGCAGATTCTGCCCTCCAAATGAGAGATTTATTTTGGGGTAATAGGCGTTTGGTGAACTGTGAAACCACAATGGGATTTGTGACCCTGGAGCACAAAACCAGTCATAAGTTGCACAGCTATATTTGTAGCAGTAGCTACACTGTATGGGTTCAAATGATCGATTTTTCTTTTATGCCAAAAATCATTAGGATATTACGTAAAGATTAATTTCCATTAAGATATTTTGTAAATTTCCTACTGTAAATATATTAAAACTACATTTTTGATTAGTAATATGCATTGCTAACAACTTCATTTGGACTTCATTAAATGCGATTTTATCAGTGTTTAGATTTTTTTGCACCCTCCGATTCCAGATTTTCAAATAGTTGTATCTCGGCCAAATATTGTCCTATTCTAACAAACCAATGGGAAGCTTATTTATGCAGCTTTCAGATGATGTATAAATCTCAATTAGAAAAAATTGTACCCTTTTGACTGGTTTTGTGGACCAGGGTCACATTTATTTGCAAGGTAAGAGTCAAATATATAGGTTTGTTTTCAGGTAAATTGGGACACTTTTGCCATTGCGATGACTGGGAAAAATGTCCCAATTAACTCATAATGAAGGTCGATTTGAAACCATCCTTTCAGGGCAAGAGAATTTTACAAAAATGTCAGGTTGGGGCAAGTTATCACATTGTAATTTTAAAACTTTTGCTTGTTTTTTTGGCTCTTTCTTGAACTGTTCTGTTTTATATAATTATTAGATTTTTTTTGTATATATTTTTTTCTATTAAAAAAAAGCTTTTTTTCTACTTAAAAATAATGATAAATTATTATTTTACAGATCAGTGTCAAAAAAAAGAATGTTCCCATTGTGACAACATGTCCCACTTCATGCGTTCAATGATCTATTTTCTAGACAGGAATGGTGTACATATTCATATGATTTTAGTAGCAATGACATAGAGTCCGTATTCATCAGCTGATTGAAAAAACACTGGAGTAAAAGGTGTGACAACTCGCCCCAGTCTCCCTTACATGTTCATGGGTTGTGAATGTGAAATGCCTTCAGTGCGTCATCGTTCGTCTGGCTCAGACAGAAATGCCACCATCACTTTCCATTTCAGTGCAGTTGCATTTGTCAGTTTTGTGCGGCTCCAGACATGCAATCGATATCTTCCGGGAGACCTGAAAGGCCAATCTGTTCCGGTCCAGATCGCAGTCTGCATGCGCGTGTGCAGGGATTTTAAAGAGACTCAGTGACACACTGGAAAACTGCAGACTCTCCTGAAAGCCAGTGATCCTGACAGATCCACCACCATTCATTCACAGAGTCTCTCACTGGAGATGCACAGCGTTGAATGTGGGCATGAAATCTGCGTCCGATTATGTATTTATTTGTACATATTTTTTGTAACCGGTCATTTGCATATCTGAATGTTGGGTTATGTTTTTTTAAAGTACACAATGCATTTCAGAATCTCAGAATAAGCTTTTGATTTTAATTTTTTTGTTTGTGTAACTGGTTTGAATGGACGATTCACATTTGACCAACTGCTTTTTGTTGTTATTCAAACCAAAGAATGTCAAAACATTTTATTGGGTGCATCTAGCCTACATCATGTTGACAATTTTGTTGAGGTTCAATCATTGCAATTGTTGATCCATATGTGATGCAATGAAAACGAGACCTTGTGCAGAAATTGGAAGAATGCTGGAAAAGTCACGTTTTTATTTCCACCGTTTTAACTGGTCCCTGACTGAGCACGATGATCTGATCAATATTGTGTTGCATAAATCTTTTCTAAGTCAAATGCATGGCGACTGTATGTTGTGGATTCATCAGGAACGTTCTGCTCTGAATGCTCTGCTGTCGAGTCCTGCGTGTGATCGAGCTGAAGTTTGCTTGTGTGAAAATGGTGTTTTGTTGATGGAACGCCGTCGTTCCCTGAGCTGATGCGAATGCCACTTTCATACCTTTGAAATATACATTCCACTTCAAATGAACATTGCATCTTTGTCTTTGCTTAGTGTGGTGTGTTTTAGGAATTTTCTGGTTATTTTAAAGGAATAGTTCACCTAAAAATGAAAATGTACTCACCCTAAAGCCATCCAAGATATAGATGAGTTTGTTTCTTCATCAAATTTGGAGAAATGTAGCATTCCATCACTTGCTCACCAATGGATGCTCTGCAGTGAATGGGTGCCGTCAGAATGAGAGTCCAAACAGCTGAAAAAAACATCACAATAATCCACAAGTAATCCACACCACTCCAGTCCATCAGTTAACATCTTCTGAAGAGAAATGTTGCGTGTTTGTAAGAAACAAATTCATCATTAATGCATTTTAACTTCAAACCGTTGCTTCTGGCCAAAATATGAGTCCATGATCCATAATAACGCTTCCTCCAGTGGAAAAAGTCCATCTCCTGCTGTCTCTCAGATCAAAATCCACACACATATTTATTAAGAACTGTTTAGGACTGTTTTTTGCTTGTAAACAGTGCTGTGCCGATTTCTCTCCTGATTCAGACAAGACTACTTTTTCACTGGAGGAAGTGTTTTTATGGATAGAGGACTCATATTTTAGCCATTTTGACGTTAAAACGTCTAATTGATGGATTTGATTCTTACAAACACACAGCTTTTGGCCTCTCAAGTCATTAACTGATGGACAGGAGTGGTGTGGATTATTGTGATGTTTTTATCAGCTGTTTGGACTCTCATTCTGATGGCACCCATTCACTGCAGATCATCCATTGGTGAGCAAGTGGTAGAATGCTATAAATTTCAAAAACTCATCTTGGATGGCTTGAGGGTGAGTAAACATTCAGCAAATTTTCATTTTAGGGTGAACTATTCCCTTTAACTAGGTTGACTTGAAAATGAGTCGTAGAAGGCGACCATTCGCGCTTGCCACGTTTCTGAAAATGCAAATCACATTTGCATTGCATTGCAGTGTTTTTTCGAGCGTGTTTCAGGTCTCCTCTGTGAAGCACTCGCCTGTCTTCCAGAGCTACAAGTGGAAGCCGTTTCCTAGAATAATGTTGCACTGTCAGAGCTGTCAGTGAGACGAAGCTCTGACGCACCCGGCTAACTTAATTAAAGGGGTCATATGATGTTGCTAAAAAGAATGTTATTTTGTGTATTTGGTGTAATTAAATGTGTTTATGCGGTTTAAGGTTAAAAAAACACTATGTTCCACATATTGTACATTATTGTTTCTCCTCTATGCCCCACCTTTCTGAAACGCATCGATTTTTACAACGCTCATCGTTCTGAAAAGCGAGGTGTGCTCTGATTGGCCAGCTATCCAGTGCGTTGTAATTGGCCGAATACCTCAAGCGTGTGACGGAAATGTTATGCCCCTTACCATACTGTGATGATGCCCTGTCCGGCCGGAGCGACGAGACAAAAACATTAAAACCCATTATAAACGAGGCATTGGTTGGATCCAGTGGCGACATAATTATGGATTATAATGATTTATTCTGTCTTTTTACGTGTTGCGTTGCATCGCGCCGCGTAAACATAAAATCATGTCTGCATTTGTGATCGGAGAAATTACACACAACAAGCGCTACTCTACACTGGCCAAAACTCACTTTAAATATAAAAAATATAAAAACTCTTTAAATATAAAAAACTTACTTACAGTCTGTGAGTCAGAACAGCCGCATTGTAGTCTACTCTACCAGGATCAGGAAACAGTCCTCCATAAAATGTGCTGCACACATCTGAATATTTGGGTTGAAGTGTGCTGGAACAGTGTTGTAAATACTAACCCACTGATTTCTAGTCGTGTCCTCTTTTGGAAGACCAAACAAAGTAGTTTCGCTTTCACAACGAAACACAGCGTCTCACACGGCGGCCTACAGTGAGGAACGGCCGGAGGGTTAGAGTGAGAGGCGGCGGGCTTGAGAACGGCGCGGACGGCGGATTCGACGAAGGAGCGGCTGGCGGGCTTGCGGCAACCACATGTGACGACCCCGGGCTGGACTCCGCTTCGTCCACGGTGAAAGCTGATCCGGCGATCCACAGCACTAAGTTGATGTATTTCCTCAGCGACCAGCACGGATCAGCTCCAGGCATGACGAAGTGGATATCGTCCTCTTTTGGAAGACCAAACAAAGTAGTTTCACTTTCACAACGAAGCACACAGCGTCTTTACGACATAGCGGCGGCGGCAACAATACTACAGCGAGAATAAAAGTTACGCCTTTCTTTGCGTGAACATTTGGGTGGCGTTATGCAAATCTTCCCACAGAGCGACGTAGATATGTGGGGGCGTGTTAGAACGAGGCGTTTTAGGGAGGCGGGGCTGGCTGAACTTTTATAAAGAATATCTCTTTGGATTTGAGACTTTAGTCTTTGCAACTTTACAGATCTTCTTTATGCACGAGAGCTTGTAACACTCCAAAGAGAAAGGAAAAATTGAAATCGCATCATATGACCCCTTTAAAACCCGGACGCTAAATCAGAACGAGGACCACCATGAAGGATGCATGTGTGTGTTATTGGATCCACATGATGACCTTTATAGACGAGGACGGTTCATTACATCACACTGTACTTTAGTGTCATGTAATAGTTCATGTGTCGATTTGGGACGTGATCAGCAGATGCATATGAAGTCATGCTGACAGATGCACGTGTGTGTTTCTGTAAGCTACATGCGACTGCTTCACTCCGAATGGCTGAGATTCTTTCAAAGGCCTTGCAGGGCATTATGGGAGTGAGTGTGTAAAAATGGCAGACTGACTCACTCTGTCCAGTGCGCACACACCCTGATCCTCTATTTTTACACTTGTACACCTCTGTAATGTGAGTTGTGTGCCAGGATCGTGACTCTTATAGCCGCTGATCTCATGTGTTTACTAACCACATCCGTTCGTCACATTATACCGCAGTAAACTTATGGCAGTTCTCGCACCATTATGGATTTCAAACATATTACAACAAATCTGATTTTAACTAGATTTCAGGCCACATATTTGACTTTTTAATTAGTTTAAAATAGGGCTGTCAAACGTTTAATCGCATCCAAAATAAAAAATTTTGTTTACATAATATATGTGTGTGTACTGTGTATTTATTATGTATATATAAAGACACACACATACAGTATGTATTTTGAAAATGTTTACATGTGTATATATATATAAATATAAATACATATAAATATATTTAATATATATAAACATATTTTTCTGAAATATATACATGCATGTGTGTGTATTTATATATATACATAATAAATATACACAGTATACACACATATATTATGTAAACAAAAACTTTTATTTTGGATGCGATTAATCGTGATTAATCGTTTGACAGCACTAATTTAAAACCATTCAAAAAATGTTACTTGAAATAAACTTTAAATAATATATAAATAAAATAAAAATAATAATAATGAATAAATCTTTTATTTAAAAAAACTCAATTAGTTTTTTTTGTATAAAATTATTTTTATTTTTTGTAAAACTTTCCAATAAGTTTTTGACGTTAGTTAACAACATTAACATGAACAAACAATGACAAATACTTAGAAATTAATCTCAGTTAATGTTAGTTTCAACATTTGCATTACTAAATCCATAGTTTATTTGGTTAATATTATTTAATGGACTTGGGCTAACAATGAACAGTTGTATTTTTATTAACTAACATCATTAAAGATTAATAAATACTATAACAAATGAATTGTACATTGTTAATTATTAGTAAATGCAAATTAATGGGACTCTATTGTATTGTACTAAAATAACTAAAACCCAAATAAAAAAATATATATACAAAACTAGTACAAATGACAAACACACTACAAAATAACTAAAACATTGACAAAATGTAAAATATATAAAAAAATAAATATATAGTCAGACATAAAAAATAAAACTAAATCAAAATCTTAAAGCTATTATAGTTTCACAATGATGCTGAAATAACACTGCTATAAACAACATTAATTTATTAATTCATTCTCTTGAGTATATTTTTATCCACAATCAGTTCCTAAAATAATGAAATGTTAGATGACACCATTGCAGCAGAAATCACTGGCTCGTTACTGTACAGATTGTAATTTTGGCCGGAGATTCAGCAGTGTTTCTGCTACAAAATCATTGTAATTATCTAATTGCTGGTTAATCTGTGTAATCATTTACTCCTTCCAGAATTAAACCAGAGCTAATTATCAGAGCGGTAGGTGCAGGATGGAGAGACGAGCTATAAACGAGCCAATGACTTATAATTGATATATATGAAGGATTTTAACTCTATTTCAAAACCGTGTGAGCTTCCTTGTTGTTGACTACTTTCAGCATCCTAACTGAAACTGAATGTTTAGTCACACAAATAGCACACGTAATACAAATGTTGGGTAAATAGTGCATATTTAAGTGGGACTGAACTGTTTTTATTAATCATTTTCAATTATATATATATGTATATAAAAACAATATCAGAAAATAACTATTTGGAACAACTGTAATTTGGTTTCAGTCTCTATTCTTGGTCCAAACTGTCACAAATCCTTGTGAATGTCAGCTGATGACAATGATTGTCATATTAACCAGCTAAAATCCCCTGCTGGGTCGCTGGTTAGATATTTGCTGTGAAAGGATATTTGTTATTAACTTCATGGCTGATGAAAAAGCTGACAAACACACATCAGGTATGTTTTCTTCCTGTTCTTGTAGGAAGTCACCTGGCAGTCAGATGAAGAACAAAGTTAATGAATAGTGTCTGTTTGCCAAAAAAGAAATAAAAAAGCAAACGAGAATCATCTCTAATAACATCAATATTTGCTAATATACAACTATTTGATTGCATTTGAGGAGACAATGGACCATAAATAATAAATGAGTAATTGTGTAGTGATGTCACCATGTTTTTGTTTGTTTTCTTTTTTTTATTTAGGTAAATTCTTGTGAGATGTATGAATTTGTACTCATTTAGTTCAGTCGAATCAAGTTCACTGAGCATTTGAGTCGTGCGCAGAATACAAAACAAAACGGAAGTTCCTGTCGTTACACACAAGCGCCGTCGTTGTAAGTTACTCGTTTGCCAAAAAAGAAATAAAAAAGCAAATGAGAATCATCTCTAATAACATCAATATTTGCTAATATACAACTATTTGATTGCGTTTGAGGAGACAATGGACCATAAATAATAAATGAGTAATTGCGTAGTGATGTCACCATGTTTTTGTTTGTTTTCTTTTTTTTATTTAGGTAAATTCTTGTGAGATGTATGAATTTGTACTCATTTAGTTCAGTCGAATCAAGTTCACTGAGCATTTGAGTCGTGCGCAGAATACAAAACAAAACGGAAGTTCCTGTCGTTACACACAAGCGCCGTCGTTGTAAGTTACTCGAAAACAATTAACAAACACGCATTGTGTGCAGTGTAGAGTAATTACACAGCATTGAAAATGCATTTATGAGTCCTGAAAAATAAACCGTGTGAACCTATATTAAACACCCCAAAACTGCTACTGCTGGCCTTCAGTCTGTGAAAACAAACAAAACATTGTGAAATCCAAAGCTTGTGTTTTGGTGAATATAGTGAAATATTTCATATGAATAACAATAATATTTATATTAAATTAATACTACCTCTTCAAAAGAATTGAGCTGTAATAGACTATATTTTTGGATATTCAAAGTATTATAATGGTGTCAAAAATTAAGATTATAAAATAAATCTGATGCTTTTTTTTTATTTTAAATATTACATCAATAGATGTGCGTTTCCTAATAATAAACTTTTTTCTCCGTGGTCTTTAAATAAATTGAGAATTATTTTTTATAGCTACTGCTAATCTAAAAGCTATAAAAACTGTTCACTTACGCTCCGTCTTTAAAATCTTTGAATAATTCAATGGTCATGTCTCTATTTGTGTTATATGTACACACTGTTGTAATGTGTTCTTGTTTAAAGCATAATAATAAATAAAAGAAAAAACCAGGCCTTGTTTAGTCAGGGTAGCTGAAGTTCAGTGCTATATTGCCCTGTTGTTTAACAACATACCAAGTGTTCAGCTCATGAAACGTCTTTCAGTTGACAAAAACTCCATAAAACAGTTTTGAGAGTTGTGAAAATGACATGATTTAGGACCTTTACAGTGTTTTTTTGTCCTCAGCACATTAATTGATCTTCAGTACAAAAATGATTGTGATTTGAACTTTAATAGTCTCAAGTTTTCTTTTATTGTAATACTTAAAGGGTTAGTTCACCCAAAAATTAAAATTTTTCTCACCCTCGTGTCGTTCCAAACTCGCAAGATCTTCGTTCATCTTCAGAACACAAATTAAGATATTTTTGATGAAATCTGAGAGCCCTCCATAGACAGCAATGCAACTGAAATGTTCCCAGGTCCAGAAACGGATATTTTATTCTTAAAATATCTTAATTTGTGTTCCGAAGATGAACGAAGGTCTTGCGTGTTTGGAACGACATGAGGGTGAGAAAACAAACTTATAAAAAAGGCTGGTTCTGTTGTGGTGTGTGTGTTACATGCTATAGGCGAGATAGCACAGGATAAAATGACTGATAAATTGGTCAATATGATGAATCATGATTGTCATCCTCTTCAAGAAACCGTTCAAGCCTGTGTGAGTTCTTTTAGCTCAAGATTAATTCAGCCCCGGTGTTACAAGGAACGATGTAGAAAGTCATTTTTACCAACAGCTATTTAATTGTATAATCAATGTCATATTAGATGCTTGATGTAGAATTTTAATTGTATAGTGTATAAATATGGAGGAGTGCATACTTTGATGCTTGAAACAAAGGGGTGCTGTATGAAATGCAGTATTTAAATTTTATTTATTTATTTATTTATTGTGTGGTGAGCTCCGCTGTGACGTGAATTTCCCTTTGGGATTAATAAAGTCAATCAAATCAGGTTAATGACAGAATTTGTATTTTTGGGTGAACTATCCCTTTAAGATGTATTATGAAGTATTCTGGCTGAATGAAATGATCTCCTCTTGAACAGCAAACCTTAAATTTCCTGTCCTAACACTTGACTTTGCCACGGGTCCTGCCCTTGTGTCTGTTATTATGGGTGAGTGATTTCTCGAACAGAGAGCCCTTTCTCTCTCTCTCTCTTTCCTCCAGCCTGCACCTGTTCCCGCTCACCCTGCAGCCAGTCACACCAGTCTTCATTAGCGCAGCTGCTGCCGTCCCTCAGCCCTCAAGTCAGGAAGTCTGATTAGATACAGAATGTCACCTTGCCCATATCAAGTGCTGGCGACCGGAATAATACACATGACGCTGTTGCTGATTTACATCAGTGAGTGAGTAAACTGCAGAAGCTGCAATCTTATCTAGAGCCAAATTAAAGCTCAAAATGCAGTGCTGCATAAAAGCCAGACTAAATTATGTCTGCTCAGACCCACCTCAGCTGTTAGCGTCAAAGCATACAGCTGTAATTGCTGTGTAAATGCATCCATGCCATCTCTGTGCAGCATTAAACGGTCTGTGTAAAGACACCCAAATGCCACTTCAGAAGCACTTCTGTGCCACCTTTGCAGTGTAAATTTAACATAGGAGTAAATACAAAAATATGCCTCTATTAAAAATGTTGGTAATGCATTATTTAAGAACTTTGTATAATTCATTATAAAAATGCATTAAATATTTTCATAAATAACTGTAATCAAAGTGCATTAAAATGCATTATATTTGCAGATATGTTACATTTGAAATTGATTATTTGTCATGTATTTTAATGCATGGCATTTTCTATGAAACAGTGAATAGATAAATATTATAATGTAGCAATTATTAATGAGATCACATATTGTATTATAAGATGCATTACAAGGCATAATTAATGCATTAATTTACTTTTATAATGCATTATATATAAAGGCTACTAGTGTTACCGAAATTGAACTGTAAGAACCTATGAAACATTTTGGACATTTTTATGGGAAATTAATAAAAAAAATTAAAGTTTATTACTCAGAAGTTGCACTTTTTAAAAAATTTTTATCAGAAGGCATAATGGGAATGTATTTCATTTAAATATAATTTTTTCTCTTGAGTTTTCCCCCTAAAACTGACAAATGAAAATGCTTAAAACAAGAATATTATTACATAAGATCTTGAAATGGTGTTTTCTGATAAATGCATATACAGTATATGTATATATTTAAGTTTATGCTTAAAACAAGAACAAATATCTCACAATGGGGTCAGAAATACCGTCATGTTTTGCTTTGAATTAAGTTTTATGAAGTTTTTACACTTCTGAGCTCATTTGCAGAAATTTGTTCTTGTTTTATGTATAAACTCACTTAATTTTTGTCACTTAATATTTTATGCCATTTTGTATGTCCAATAAATATATCTTGATTTAGGAATGTTTAGATACTTGTACGTGAAAACTTGACAATCATTTTTTTGCCGTGTGTAGATTTTGAAATTCGAGTGCTTGGCTTGAGCTCAGAGATTTGTGAATTTGAGTTTTTTAAACGTTTGTCAGCAGAAGTGAGTTGAAGTGCTTCCGTGTTTGTGTTGAGTATCAGTGTTTTCACACACCCACACAGCCCAGGTGTTGCTTACTTCACGAGTCCGTCGTATTTCACAGCAAAGCGCTCAAGGTCACTGATAAGACTGCGCTTGACACGTCTTTGTAGCCGAAGAAAATCAACTGTGTCTTTTCCCAAATGAAACATGCACAACAATCAGGAATGATTTTCTTATCCGTCCATTTTTTAGACTTAAATAACCAACTAAGCACATTATTGGACGGACAGATGAGAGTTTCAGCTCTGAAATGAGGCAAGAGTGCTTGCCATTTCAGAATATTACAGCTTCTCTCTGCCTATAAGGTTTCTGGGTAATTAAATAACTCCCAAACAGACCCATTCAAATTATCTTTTGACATTTAAATCAGTTGAGGTTTCCCTCCAGAACTGCCCAGATGATTTGAATAACAGACCAAAGAAACCTGCCAGGCGAGTGTCCTGTACGTTAGTGTGCGTTACAGTGGAATATCAATATCCAGAAATTTTGCATGTACAGCAGGGTTCCCACACTCATAGTGAATATCATTTTAATGTAGTAAAATCTGTTGTGTGGAAAGTGGCTTTTGATGGCAACAAATGGGACACCCATGATCAATAAATAATTACATTTAAGTGTTGTTTGTGCAATGCAGAACACACCACCAAGATTAGGATGAGTTTGTTTCTTCATCAGATTTGGAGAAAGGTAGCATTCCATCACTTTCTCAGCAATGGATCCTCTGCAGTGAATGGGTGCCGTCAGAATGAGAGTCCAAACAGCTGATAAAAACATCACAATAATCCACAAGTAATCTACACCACTCCAGTCCATCAGTTAACATCTTGTGAAGCCAAAAGCTGCATGTCCCATCATTAAGATGTTTTTAACTTCAAACTGTTGCTTAAATACTAGTCTTCTATCCATAATATTGCTTTTTCCAGTGAAAAAGTCTGAATCAGAAGACAAATCTGCACAGATCAAGCACCGTTTACAAGCCAAAACAGATTTAAACAACTATGTGGGTGGATTTTGATGTAAGAGACAACAGTAAATGGACTTTTTCACTGAAGGAAGCGTTGTTATGGATTATAGACTCATATTTTAGCCAGAAGTGAAGGTTTGAAGTTAAAAATGTCTTATTTGTTTCTTATAAACATGCATCTTTATGTTAACTGATGGACTGGAGTGGTGTGGATTACTTGTGGAATATTGTGATGTTTTTATCAGCTGTTTGGACTCATTCTGATGGCACCCATTCACTGCAGAGCATCCATTGCTGAGCAAGTGATGGAATGCTACATTTCTCCAAATCTGATGAAGAAACAAACTCATCTACATGGCCTGAGGGTGTGTAGCTACATTTTCAGCAAATTAATTTTTTTTAGATGAGCTATTTCTGCTGAGATGAGAGACAATCTGTTTATGAAGGGTTAAGATAATGATTTTTGAATAATTTCATTCTGCAAGGATTGTAACTGCTGTTTCTTAGACGTGTGTTTGATGTGTGGAGGTCACTGGTTTGGTGAGTCGGTTGGGAGATGAGCGGTTGTTTATACAGGAGTCTGGTGGTGTTTTGAATGAGGGCTGTGTTTCCTCAGAGGGACGCTCCCACCCTTTCCTCTGTGATTCTCTCCCACTTATAACCACAGCTCAAAAACACAGGCTTTGTACCTTTTAGCCCTTAGAGGATAGATACTGTATATTCATCTGTGTTCAAAATGATCAACAGCATCCTTTACAATGCAGAAAATGGCTTTTTTTTTTAAATCTGTTTGCACTTGAAAAATATGTGGAATGTCCTAATTCAATCTGCTCTTAAGTGGAGGCATCAACAGGAGTCATGTGCGTTTTGTTGAGGATCAGATGAGCTCAGATCATCTGAGGATAATGCTGCTCTGTCCTAGGCAGAAGCGTTCATTGTTTGTCTTAGCGCTGTGCAATCTGTCGGGACGCTCCCACCCTTTCCTCTGTGATTCTCTCCCACTTATAACCACAGCTCAAAAACACAGGCTTTGTACCTTTTAGCCCTTAGAGGATAGATACTGTATATTCATCTGTGTTCAAAATGATCAACAGCATCCTTTACAATGCAGAAAATGGCTTTTTTTTAAAAATCTGTTTGCACTTGAAAAATATGTGGAATGTCCTAATTCAATCTGCTCTTAAGTGGAGGCATCAACAGGAGTCATGTGCGTTTTGTTGAGGATCAGATGAGCTCAGATCATCTGAGGATAATGCTGCTCTGTCCTAGGCAGAAGCGTTCATTGTTTGTCTTAGCGCTGTGCAATCTGTGTTAATAAGCAGTCAGAAATGAGCAGATACAGTGTTAATGATCATAAAGCTGACACACTGCGTGTTCTGCAGATGAAGCGTGTTTGTTTTGAAGGTGTGAGCGTCTGACTGTGAGGAAGTGACTCCAATGTAATGTTTCGAGACTGTGGCTCCGTTTCCATCCTCACTGACTGCCCTACCTAGACAGCATCACTCCCAACCTGAAAACCCCTTTTCCCTAAGATAGCACTGATTATGATTATACTTGAGTAGTTGACATTTCACCCAGTTGACATTTTTTAAATGTTCATATATTAATATAGAGTAATTTGAAGGACCTTTATATTGAGGATCTGGTCCGACTCCTGATGCACGCCAAGTTCCTCAATGCCAAAATTATCATTTCGATTCGCTACCTTGAACGTCCGGACATTATACCAAACCGGCAAATTGGAGCAACTCCTGGGAGAATTTGATTGCTATCATCTTGACATCCTTGGCATTGTTGAGGCCCGCTTGACGGCCAGTGGGAAGTTGATAAGTGACGATAAGACCTTCATATACCGTGACCATGTCCGCGTTGTGGGGATTGTCCTATCCCGCCGAGCAGCATCGTGCCTACTCTGTTGGCGACCTGTCTCAGACAGAATCATTTCCGTATGGCTGCAAGGCATACATGTGAAGTTGACCTTCGTTCAGGTCTATGCGCCAACAGAAGATGTCTTCGACACAGATAAAGACTCTTTCTATGATGACTTGCTACTTGAGCTCAACCATATCCCGCGCCATGACCTCGTCATCATTGCAGGCGATCTTAACGCCCAGATCAGCAAGAAAATGCAAGCATTCGATCATGTGATTGGCCCCCATGGTTTAGTGACCTAAACCAATGACAACGGTATGCGACTCCTGACTTTTTGTGCTGCTCAAGGACTTGCGGTTGCGAACACATACTTTCCACACAAGATCCACAAAGTTACGTGGAAAGCCCCGGGCGCCCACAGGGTGTACAACAAGATTGACTATGTCTGCGTCTCCAAGCGTTGGCACTCGTTCATCCTCGATGTGCGAAGTTATTGGGGCATCGATGTGGGTACTGACCACTTCCTGCTCATCGCAACCTGTCGACTTCGATTGCGGCGTTTGCTAGCCCGTGGTCAGTGACCAAAGCCTTTTGATGTCGTACGACTCCGAGACCCGGTCGTATTGCAGCAGTACAATGTTACAGTCCGGAATCACTTCGAACTATTGGCCCCCACACATGACATGGATTCCCGCTGAGAGCAGTTTCGAGACACTCTGGTAACCACGGCAGAGGCGGCCATCGTCGCCGACGGGGCACCTTTAGAGAACGCTGGATCCAACCTCGATCATGGACATTGATAGATGAACGATGGCATGCAAAGCAAGTTCGGGATCAAGCACACGTATATACAGAAAACAAAGCTACGGAGATGAAGTATAGGGACTTGGATCAACAAGTAAAGCGAAGTCGCAGACGTGACAAGCG